AAACATACTTATATTGTGGCATAATTTTTATTGTGTATTATATTAACTATTTCAATGTATTTGTAAAGTGATATAAAGGAGAATACAGTAAATGTGTTATTATATGTGAATCGGATAAATGAGATTGGATTCTTGTAAGAGGTTTGGTCTTACAATTTAAAATAGGTAGAACTCTATTACTGTTTAAATACATTTTAATTTTATTGTAAATACAGAGAGAGAGAGAGAGAGAGAGAGAGAGAGAGAACAGTTGTAATTTGGTATTCCTACTGTTCCCCTAACTTGTGAGCCCTGATCTCTGGCCGAAAAGTGATTTCGTTTTGATGAGTACAAAGTTGTTCACAATATATGAGTATTTGATGTGTTGTTGTGTCGCATGTACTGTACATATGTATGTATTTTTACAGGCATTACAATAGCTATCAAATTGGTTGGTATTCTTCATTATATTCTCTATTCATACGATAGTAAGCACTGGTATTCATGCAATTCGTCCTTACATTTCTCAATTCAAAGCACAAGTGTTTGAAAATTCATATATCATTCAATATTCAGTGATATTAGAAATTTCTTAAAAGAGATTTCATAGAAAGGAATAATGAATGGAAAGAAAATGAATGGCTGTTAACCTCACGCCATATAACAGGCCTCAGACACAAAGCCCTTAGAGACAGACCCCTCCGACAGATATCTTCCGAATTGTATATCTTTTTTTAGCGGGAATTGCAAAACAAGTTTGACTTATGTTTTGGTTTTGTCGTCAAACAGACAAATCCAGAGTATAATTAACACCTCTTTGTTGTGAACGATACGCTTCTTTGACCACAGCTTTAATTAAATGTCCAAAAATATTGGACTTTATATGAATGTTATTCTTCTTTAATAATATATACCGTATTATTCATTCAAAATTCATACAAAATGCTAAAAATAATCAATTATTTTGATTATGTTTTGCTTATTATTATACAATCCTATAGTTATAACATTAGATTGAATATTACGGTGGCTTTCAATCACTGACTTTTCGGAAGTATTTCACCACTCAATCGAAACTGTTTTGTTTTTTTTTTGTTCATTTTTTGTACTTATTTTGCGGTAATTTTCTGAAAATGCTTTTCAAAAACAAAAATATTTTTTAATTATAATCGTCTGTTTGTGACAAACCGTTAGAAATGAACGGAATTACGAGAAAACAGAAGAAATAAAAAAGAGGCAAAGATTTTGATCTCATATCAAACGGAATTAAAGCTGAAAACTCAAAACAAGAAAACTTTTATTTCAGTTTTCGTTATAGTTTTTGGCAAAATATGTTGCATTTTATTCACAGCTAATCCATTCTTAAGCATTGAATCCTTTTATTTACTTGTTTTTCTTTTGTTGTTAAAGCCGTCAAACATGAAAACATTTTAATAGATTTTATCTAAACGATGAACAGAATTAAATCAATATATTTTTTAGTTATATTTCTTCATTAAAATGTGTTCAGAGCATAACATTTGTCTCAACTCATGGATTGTAATACAAGGTTAGAGCCAAATGATGGTAAAGTCGGGTCAAACTAACTGTAAATCTCATAATTTTGTTCTTCATATTCAACAATAAAAAGCAGTGAATTATTACTACATTTATGTCTAGGTTTAGGCATACGTTTGATTGATAGCATAAAATAATGCATTTTCATGAATATAAAAACAGAAAGTTTGAAATTAATGAAAATTAATATATTTTCAAACCTATAAAATGCGAAAAGATTTAAAAATAATAAATTTTAAATCACAGTTTGGTTTCTCTTATTAATCATTTCGGATATTATTTTTATAACAAAATATCGAATTTTATTATTTCAGTCAAAACTTTATAATTAATATTAAAATATTCACGTTTTTGTATAAAATGGGAAAAATCAAATACAGATTAACATTAAATGTAAATTTTTAGTTTAAATATATTTTGAGACATTCTTTGCTATCAATCAATAGCTTTTCTCTTGTATTTAAATCGCTTTCTCTTAATTTGTGATAATTATATAATTATTGCCTCCAAATGCAACTGTTCATCAAAACTTCTGATTATTAATCAGTGATTAAATTTCATATATTTTGTCAGTCTTTGTATCAATTCTCATTTTTATGAAATAATTAAATATTTTATTAATTCGTATTCAATATAACTTAATTTAAATTTCAAAATTTTAATAAAGAGTTGCGGTATTCGTGTAATCATATACTGAAGAGATCCTGATTTGAGTATAAGTTTGATAAGTAGTTGTAAACGTCTTACTCTTCAAATTTGTAATTTATATACCATTGTTTAAATGAGAATTCAATTTGGATTAATTGATTGAAATACAAAAAGCAGTTTCGGTTTTATAAAAAATATTCACTACTTCAGTAGAAATGATGGAAATATGCATTCAAATTGAAATCTTTTGCTTCTCTAATGTATAACAATATTCATTGTGTTTAACAAAAGATGTAATTTTCAGAGAATTCAGTAAAAGGCAACTAATTATAAGCAATAGTAATGTTATGTATTGAATGTATTGGTGGGCGAATACATCAAAATGCTCATCAAATGGCAGCTTATGTCTAGATCTTGGAATCTATTAAAGCCTTCTCTCAAGCCTTTGTCTTCATTCAAGTAGTTGTCATAAAAAACCAAATTTCTTCAAAACATCACTTCATTCCTCCTTTTATTGTATGAATGATTAAATTGTGAACAAAATTATTGACTTTAAACATCAAAATGTAAAGAGAAATAAATAGTGAATAAACAGAAAGAGTTCGTCAATTATAACCATTATATCCGTGACGATCATATGTGTCAAACCAATTGCCAAACCAATACACCAATAGAGGGTTACCAATGCTGACCAACACTAACCTCCAACTTCTCAAAACACATCAACATTTGTTGTTTGCATCAAATCATACATTTAGAGAGTTTGGGAATTTTATGTGAACAATGCTCTCATGATTCACGGCATTCACGGCACTCAATGGGCAGCACAGGTAGTGAGTGGTAGTGAGAGCTAAGCAACAAATCTTAATTATATGTTTCAAATGCATTTCTCTACACTTTCAAAGCGTTATTGGATTAAAGAGTCAATATATCAGTAATGGATGCAGACATGAGAGCATCAAACTATTCTTTGCGATACCTTTTCAATACTTTACTAACTTTTTGTACAATTTTTTTCGCATTGCATTCATCATTGATTGCAATTCTTTATATTCATATCAATCAATATTTAACATTACATTCTTTGTCATTCGTTGGCTCCCACTCTAAGAACTACACATTTATTCATCATTTAATGCATTGTTTGATCTCTTTATGTAATGATAGGCAGCTTTCGATGCTATTCACAAGAATGATATATCAAATTAATGACAACAATTTCAACCACTTTAAGCCCTACAAGCACTGGCTTTTTGCAACCATTGCCCTAATATTTTCTGTAAGAATATATGGCAACAGCTTTTCCACCAAGAATTTGATCTTAATTTGAAATATTGTTTACCCCTTTTCCTGTCAACAGTCCTCTTCTTTAGTGTATTCATCGGAACCAATCAGTAGTTTAATCACATTTAATGGCAATAATAGCACTGATATTGAAAAACTGGAGAAATTGTTGCCAATCACTACACAATCAGATTCATTGATTGAAACGACAGTTATGTCCAATACAGTCGACGACACGACTGGAAACGCCTCCCTCTCAGCCCTATTTATGACAACTGAAACGAGTGGGAACTCCACGACCACAACGTCTCCGTTAATCGACAATATGGTCGCCTCCGGGACTGAGAATCGGTTCCGATGGATGGACTTTCGTCGGCCGCAATCATATCCGCCCCGAATGCCAGCCCTTCCAGGAATTCCGAGTGGATTTAGAAATCCTGCCGCTAATAATAATCAAGTGTTTAATCCGGGAATGCCTTTCACTGGCTTTGGAGGCAGTAGTACACAACCGGTCGGCTTTGGGGGCAGTGTTGTGATGAGCAATCACTTCGGACCCCAATCGGGGTCTGTTAGACGCCCGGCGCTCAACATAACAAGAGTAGAACGTAAGAACATATAATGCATATTACAAAATGACATTTCCCTTCAAATCAGTTTATAATTTGTGTTTTTATTTAACTCTTAAATACAAGGAATTTAATTTATCTAGTTTTTAAATGTAATACAAAAAATAGTAAAAATTACTTGAATTGCTCCGCAGACATGTGTCAGGCATTTAATATTATACATTAGGAAATACTTTCAAAGTCACAATTATGTTCCAAATGATTTTCTTTGCCATTCTTGATCAAGGTACTTTTTAGGAAATATTTTTATTGAAGAATTTATATATTCATAAGACAAATATTTATACTATTTCATAATTTTATTAACCCTGACATTTGTACACGAGGAGGTCTTTTTTATTGCTAAAATGCTAGACCATTATATAATTTCCATATGAAATCAAAATTTTCAAAATCATATATTTAAAAATAAGATATCGTAAATTTGAAAATTGACTTGTTGCCTTTAGTGACCCTAAACATTTTGACATTAATTTTTAAAATTGGTTTAATAAATTTTAATTGGAAGGGTTTTATTGCGCAAAAATCCCTCTTCCGGTGCACAACGACCATGTGGTATATCAAAATTTTCTAATTGAAAAATATATAAAAGCACCTGGATTAAGAATGGCAAAGGAAAATCCTTAGAACATAACTATGACCAATATCTCCTAAAATATTTAACATATGCTGAAATAGTAAACAATTGTGACAATTCTATTACTGTATAATTGATACTTAAAATCATAACTGCATTCTTGACGCTAAGAATTTTATTTATTAAAAGCATTTTTATATTTTTCTTAACAAATTCCTAATGTTCTTAGCGTTTGACAGATATGTCTGAATATAATGTTAAAACCATACAAATAATAAGGCATTACATGATTTTAAACCAATTTTATTTTGTTAGAAGATTTCTTTCAAATGTTAAGTCATTTCAAGGTCTTTGAAGTACTAAATAACACGACAAAAGAAAACTCATTAAATCATTATAAACCGCAACAACAGAACAACAGTTCAGAGAATTGCTTACATTATATACTCTTTTTTCCGTAAACATAAACTCTTTTGACAAAACATTTTTGACAATAAATTTCTTATTATATATTATATTTTAAAAAAATACTAAACAATAAAAATAACAAATCAATAGACATAACCGCCGAGTGCTCCGACGACTACATGAAAGTGAGCATTCATTTCAACGGAACATTCATGGGTTTGGTCTATAGTTCGGGTTATGTTCACGATTTGAATTGCATTTACGTTAACGGTTCCGGAAGGAATCACTACGAGTTCTTCATTAGACTCAACCAATGCGGGACATTAGGCAGACAAGAGATGTATCAGCCGACCCTTCCGGGAGAGGCCAGAGTGCGTGAAATTTTCACTTTTTTATTGCAATTATATAATAATAACAATAATTTTATAGCATTTTAAACAGTAATTAAAAGCCAATATAAAAAGCAATAACTTTTTTTTCTTGTCTTCGTGTTGTGGTTGTGTTTGGGGTATTGTTTTGATGACTGGGTTCTAGAGAAGGGATCAATTGATGTGGAATACGCTTTCCATACAATACAACGCTCTGATTGAAGAGGAATTTGACGAACACTATCGGGTGACGTGTGAATATGGAAGTGATTTCTGGAAAACCGTTACTTTTCCTACCGTTAACGTCGAGTAAGTCTTTATTACAACTCATATTTATACGAATAATTCCGACTGAATTCTCATCATAAAAAATTAAGTAATATAAAAATGAAAACAACACAAAAAAAACAATTCAAAACCTAATTGAGAGTCCGCTCTGGAGTGGAGTCCAACTCCGGGGTCATTGACTTTTGACAACGACTTTCACCGATCAGGTCCTGTGATCACTGCTTTCAATCAATGGATAAATTTTAGATTAAAAGAAAATCAAACGAAACAAACTGTTAGGACACTTCTTATAAGACAAACAATTTTAAAAAATAGTGATTTAACACAAAGAGAAGCGAAGATTATTTACTAATGGAATTGAATGTCTGGTATCTAACCATCCATTTATATTAAGCAAAACTCGATTACAAAGCAATCGAAGCAAACATTTTTCAAATTAGTTGATAATAGGAATAAATAATCTAAAAGCCGATCACTAGTTAACTAATTATATATACTGTTTATTGTATGGGATATAAGATATTATTTAATTTAGAGTTTAGATAATATTTCAGATTAAAATTACATCCAAAATAACTCTTTGTTCATATATTTTATAATTATATTGTTCAACAAAATATTATTTTTATAGCAAATATTTGGATATTCTGTAGAAATGGTTATACATTTGATGTAATCTTTAAATTATAAAATATAGATACATAATGTATACTAAACATTAATATATTGTATTTTGTGATCGAAATAAATTAAGAACTTAATAAATAATAAGAACAAAAGCTATAATAAAAAGTCAATTCTAAACAATGGACATAATTTGTGCAATTAATCAAAACACTAATCGCATAACACTATAACATAATAAATTGACACACAATTTGTTGATTACAGAGTGAATACCGGGAGTCCCGTAGTGTTCACTATAAACCCGCCTCAATGCCAAATGGAGATTAGGAGAGGCTTTGGTATCGCCGGCACCCGTACTTCGGGACCAGTGACTGTTGGCGATCCGTTGACCCTGCTCATTCACATGAAAAGTGAAAAAAGTATTTACACTCAAAAACTTTGGTTTCCATTGAAATTGTTGTCTTAAACAATAACATGATGAAAAAGTCGGCCAAAACTATAAGACCACTTCTTAACACACCGCGTATTGCCCCGAGTTGTTTCTGAGGTTGAGTAGCTAAGGTCGCCCATAAATCGTGTGTAAAATGTTTGTAATAAGTCTTACTTACTGAGAGAGAGAGAGAGAGAGAGAGAGAGAAAATGTGGTTAAATAATAAATTATATTTGATTATTAAGGGCCTAAGTAAAGAGCGTGTAATAATTGATTTGTTTGTAATTAATAATGTAATTTGTTGTGAGATATAACTACTGTAATGTATATTATCTGTATGTATGACACAAATCTGATGATAAAACGATATGAGATTTTATCTCTAAAGTCAACACCATTTGTGTTATAATAACTCATAACTTAGTTATTCTTATAATAGATATAGACTTGACATAGACTTAAATTATACTTCTGTTCATTTCTTGTCTGCATTTTTTAAATTATATTTTTAGAGCAATGAATCATTAATTGAATGAAAGTTTTTGATGAGAATATATATTCCCTGAATGTTCAATGAAATATCATTGAAAACTTTCGATGCATTTTGTGGTATAAATAAATAGTGAAAAATCTCTGACATATTACTACATTTATGTCTAGGTTTAGGCATACGTTTGATTGATAGCATAAAATAATGCATTTTCATGAATATAAAAACAGAAAGTTTGAAATTAATGAAAATTAATATATTTTCAAACCTATAAAATTCAAAAAGATTTAAAAATAATAAATTTTAAATCACAGTTTGCTTTCTCTTATTAATCATTTTGGATATTATTTTTATAACAAAATATCGAATTTTATTATTTCAGTCAAAACTTTATAATTAATATTAAAATATTCACGTTTTTGTATAAAATGGAAAAAATCAAATACAGATTAACATTAAATGTAAATTTTTAGTTTAAATATATTTTGAGACATTCTTTGCTATCAATCAATAGCTTTTCTCCTGTATTTAAATCGCTTTCTCTTAATTTGTGGTAATTATATAATTATTGCCTCCAAATGCAACCTTTCATCAAAACATCTGATTATTAATCAGTGATTAAATTTCATGTATTTTGTCAGTCTTTGTATCAAATGCTCATTTTTATTAAATAATTGAAGATTTTATTAATTCGTATTCAATATAACTTAATTTAAATTTCAAAATTTTAATAAAGAGTTGCGGTATTCGTGTAATCATATACTGAAGAGATCCTGATTTGAGTATAAGTTTGATAAGTAGTTGTAA